TTTTATCTGCTTGTCTCATTTAACGTTGATTATTTATTACTTTTACAAGTAATATTAAGATTTTGAATATGGGTTTTATCAGCAATCGAACTTAACCTAAACAAATACAAATTTGATATTTATTTGATAATTTTTAATTTATTACCTCAGCCAAGATAAGAGCCTGTGTATAAAAGTTGGTTGATCTTTACATAATTATTACTAATTGAGGGGTGATGTTCGCGTAGGCAGGTCGTTTACCATTATCCTGGTCGCAATGTTTTGATATTTCAGACGCGTTTCGGTTTTTTTATCATCCTCATAATATTATTAAAAACCTAATAATGGGATATTAGCACTAATTAAGCTTAACAGTAAAGATGGTTAAGAACATCGAGAAGGTTCAGGATGAACGGAAACGACTAAGCCCAAAGTTATAAAATATTTTTTTTATTACGACCCATCATAAATAACAAACAAGCCTATTTCCCGAGAGGTGTTAGAATGTAGTCGGAAACTCGCGAATATTAGCACACTAAAATCTAACGAATTCGAGGAAAGATAGGGTTTTATAATTACAACACGGAATGTACTGAGAAACGGACTAATTGACGGGAAAAACGTCCTGGCTGTTTTTTAAAGTGTAATTGTGTACCAGAAGAAATATTGTAACGTTAATTATGCAAGATGAAAACGTTTTTGCAACGGGAGCGTGAAGATTCAAATACAAATTGTGAGCCTTTATAGTTGTATATAATTATAATGTGACACGTTTGGCTTTTTTCATGTGTTTCGATCATTTTAAAAGTATTTTAAAAAAAGTTACGTTTCGCGAGAAAACTTAACAAAATGGTGGCCTTTGTCAGTACGCGGCATACTTTCATTATTTTCTTACGAGAAATCATTAAAAATCGAACAAAACTACCTATTGACTGATCAATAATTTCGTAAACTAAAGTTATTCTTCCGATGGTTCTTACAAGACAAAAAATCTAGATTTTCGACAACAAAAAGATGAATCTTTGAGTGAGCAAATTTGTTTGCTTTAGATATTGAATATTTCCAAAAATAATTAATTATTTTTTTCGAACAATGTAGAGGGCTTGAGATTATTTTGTTGTAATTTTCAAAACAAAATCTTAAAATACTATCAATATTATTAATCCATTTACGTTTTCATAGTCAATTGACCAAGTTACATCTTTCAATCAATTAATGATCCTTTTTAAGTTCTTGGTTGAGATAAAAAATATTATTAATATTCATATTTTGGACGATACGTCTATATTAAAAATTTGGCGACTACCCAGTGAAACGTTCTCACAAATATGACTATATGTGATTGTGAATATTGAATTGAGAAAAATTGGAGCATCCAGGGAAAAAATATTTTATATATATTTTCGTCATTATACTTCTGTTTTAATTGTAAAAGAAATGTAAGTACAGTATATTTTTTTTCTAAAATAAATTATCGTTTACTTACAGAAATTAAACGTTTGTTTTTCCACTTGGTGGGCGAGGTTATTGGTGCTGACAGGATTTTTGAATTTAAACAGAACCTAGGCTTCCTTCAACTAGTAAAATCCGATCTGTTTCAACAAACTCTAAAATGGGAAGAGAGAAAAAATTCGCTAAAATAGCCCGAGTGTAATTATTACTGCTGCGATCGAAAAATCTGGCGAAATGTTCGATAAGGATTTAGGTTAAATAATTTTTTTGCCAATCTCAATTTTATCACTGAGATAGCGGTTTTTCGCATTTTATTCATAAGTGTTTATTAATCGTTGCCCAAAATCCGGGCCTCGTTCGATAGAAATCAGCCTGTTTAATTATTTATCAATTGCACTGAAAAAGAAAAAAAAAGCACTGTGTTCCGTCGTGAACACCAAACCGATACTGCCTTCATCGTCGGAAATCTTTAGAAGAAAAAAGTTTTATCTCGATATTTTTGTTCTTTATTATCAAAATTGTTTAAATATTTAATATCTCAAGGAAATTGAAACGGGCAGTTATACGATTCGATTCAATAAAAACCGCGGATAGAAAATACACCAAAGAAAGAGAAAGTTACGGACAGTGCCACAGGAAAAACCTCGTCACCAACGTTACGACCCCCTTGTTAACAACAGTTCTAAGCAAATAAATAAATAAAATTATTAACCGAATTGTTCATACCGTTGAATTAACATTTGTAATATTTACAAGTTAATCAAATAATCTGTGGGTTTTTCTGAACAGCGCGAAAAAACATTTGAGTGTTTTGATAAAGAGTTTTTCCTACTCTTAATTTTTGTTTAATTTTTATCCATTGAAATCATAACTTTTATAAAATTCTTATAAGGCATAAGTTTAATTATAATTTAAAAATAACTAACGATGTTAAAACCAAAAATAAAAAACATTACTAATATTTTTTTATATTTATCTAAGGTTACAATCTATTACTATTGACAGTATTAATGTTATGCAAGGTTGATGTGTATAAAAAAATATTCACCGTGTCAAACTTATTGTTATTATAATCAACAAGGTCATTGCTCTATAGATTTATATTGAAAATGATAATTTATTGATTTTTTTCAAGTGGTTCATATTGAATGTAAATTTTGATTGAACTAAATAATAACTATAGTTTAAGGTTCTTTTTGTCGTTTGCAGTTAAATATTATGAACTGACGGTCATAAATGTAACATAAACTGGTCCGAAACGTTTGAGTCGATTTTACAAACTTTGCTTTAATTGCTAATTATAAATATTTATTTTAAACACTTTCTTTTTATTATTTAGTTATTTAATTATTTGCAAGGTTGGATTATGCAAAAAGTACCAGTTTATCAAACTATTCTGATTATAATTAATAAGGTCATCACAGAAAAATTTCACTCTTTTGACATTTGTTAATATTAGGTTTAATAAAAAAAATATTTTATATGATAAGACTATCATATAAATAGATAGAACGATTTAGATGCCTTCTGGCCAAAAGTCAATTTTGTTGTTAAATTTCATGTATACTTTTTCTTTTCTATATATATTTTTTGTTGTAATTTTCTATTTTCAACTAGTTTTATTAGGTGTTAAGGTTTTTTTTATATATTGGATATAAAACTGAAGCGCGTAAATCATTTTTTCATGGTATCGAAACCTGTTATTATAGCTAACAAGGTCATGGGATTTAAGATTTATACTGAAATTATTAAAAAAAGAAAAAATATCTAAACTCTCTCTTACGTTTAAGGCGAAGTTGGCTGTTTTCGCGTCAAGTTATAAACGGATCGGTCCGATTTCACAACACAAGATCGTAAACACGTGAAAACGCGTGCAAACACAACTATCGGAGTTTGTTTTTTAAGCATGATCGGACTTGTGAATTTTACTATCTCTTAAATATCAGATATGAAATGTTAGTTATTGTTTAGGGATGAATGATCCAAACATTTGTTTTGTTTTTAAAGATTTCATGGTTTTAACGGTAATGTGACATAAGTCAAAATATTTATTATGTAGAGTTATAATTCAACCATCAGATTTTGTTAAAATGTGAAATAATATTTACTCGAACTGAAGATTTGGATTTGGAGATAAAGTCGAAGTGGGTCAACATAGAAAAAAAGCATGTTTGTATGCGTGTGCGCGTGCTTGAGTATCTAAAAGAGAAAGGAGCTTTTCAGAAATTGATATTATCCACGGAAAAATTAAAACCCCGCTTTGATAAGAGCCGAGGGGGGAAAAAAATCCGGCAAAAAGAAATCACGGCAAATACCGATAATGGATTTTTTGTAGCCTCCCCTCCTCGCGAATCGAAAAATATTGGGGCACCTTATCGCAAAATTCGAATCGCACCGCATCTCGTATACAGGAAGGGAGATTGCCGAGGATAATTGGCGATCTTTGAGGCAATGAACCCGACGGAGATCGTCAACGAGTTCGCACCGTCGGGATGAATGGGACGCCGGCCGTCAGCCGCCTCCAGAACCGGCGAATCCGAAAGCTCGTGGGTACTACGACCCGGTGCCATGTGCTTCTCATGCCGGATGCTTTTATTTTTAACCAACGCAAACTCCGAAAAACAGTAAATTTGTCTTGTAAACTTTAACCCAAGAGAAAGCAGATTACATTGTTTTTTGTTCTTCGCCTTTGGTCTACTTTTAAATATCATATAAAATGACACAGATAAAAAGAGAAAAAAACACTCAAAAGAAATGGAAACGATAACAGTTGAAATTTATCTATCCACTAAAAAAAGCTTTAATTCCAAATTTATAAAAGACGCGAATAAAGTTCAAATTTGACAGACGAATTTGTCTCAATCTCAACATCGCGAAATCTCGGCGCCACTCGAGGAAATCTATATAAAAAAATCTCCATATCTAAAAAAAGCCGATAACTTTCCTTTTCGCGTGAAAACCGGTAAAGGGCGAAATGATGTCAACAAGTCGGCTTTACCGATGAATGTGCGATGATTTTTCGCCGTCACTCGCCCTTGCATACAAGAACGCACTATGTTCACCGGTGAACTCGTTTTTCTATTTTATCGCAAAAATTTTCCACGTACAAGGGCAAAAAATATATAAATATTTGTCAATGGGGGAAAAATAAGTTTTGTTTAAAATCAAGAATTTCGACCAACTTCCGTATCCAGAGATAAAACAGCTGTCAGTGCAGGTTTGTTAGCATTCGCGAGAATTTCTAACCCGAAAACACATAATTTGCGCAACGTTGTAGCGTTGTTTGTAAGGATTTGAATGTCAAATTTTTCCATTGCATTTTCCCATAAATCACCCTATAACACGTTGATAAAAAAAATAAATAAAAAATCTTTTTAGAACTGGTTTTGAATTAATATTCTTCACGGAAATCACTTTAAATCTCATTATACCGGTAATAAATAATGCGAAGCGTTTGAAATAAAAATTGAGAATATCAACGAGCCTAAACTATTTTCATGATGTTTTTCAAAAATTGTTGAATTCCAAATCAAGATGGGGGAAATATTTGATCAAAGTTTGTAACATACCTGTTGAATGTGTGTGTATGGCTGGGTCCTACGAGGACATTTCACAAGAATCACTAAGTGTCACTCGGTCTCTGTGATTTATCAATGCACAGGCACTAAGGTCTCGATTAATTATGAAGAAGAAAAAAAAACGAAAAAAATTTTCCCGGATAAAAGTCCGCTCCGCCGTCGGGGGCATCCGTCGGCGAAAAAGGATAAATCGAAAAAGTCAGGGATCACACGAAATCGAAAAAGGGTAGGGGGTGAGTATGCGTCACAGGTGATCCCGGCTACACGACTAAAATCCAAAAAACGGTGAGCAGTTTGGAGTGCTCCCCACCCCTGTTATCCACACTCCTCCCCTGAATCAGAACTCAATAAAACTGAAACTATAACAAAAAAGTGGAGGTGCAGGAACCAAGTTCAACCCATTTCAAGAGGGGTACTGGCGCGCGCTGGATCCCCACTCGGTTAGTCCACTCCCACAACCCCCTCCAAACAACCCCCACTACAACTAATATATTTTATTTTGTACTACCTCCCGGCCCAACTACACCCCACTTATCCCCTCCGGGCGACGACTTAAAACTATTACCTACACAATTATTGTCATTTTGTATTTACAATTTTCGCCATTTTACACTGTTCCGAGTGCAAATCAACCGGCTGAAAGTTCAACATGCAACACTTTCTTTTTGTCATCTTCTTCAAACAATCTGATCAAGAAAGAATAGGCTGACTGGCTGTTAATCAATATTAAAAAACGTTCCATAATTGGGCAAAAATGGAAAAAAAAACTATTTTTCAAATGTTAATTTTTATTGCAGTATATGTCCCAAAGTTTCCACACTTTTTTGGCAATATCATTTACTGGATAATAAAAATAGCTCCCAAAGTAGTCCGAACCAGAAACCACAATTTACATAAGTATTTTTGAATTGAACTATTTTATAGAGATAGTAAACTATAACGATTGAATGGATAAATTGTTTTTAACATTGCTCAGTGTTTTTGATTTTCTAAACAACTTGTCAAAATTAATCAATAATGGAGCGATAGAATAGAAACGTACTTACATAGAAGTCATGTTTGTTTTCATTAAGTTAACATAGACTCGTTTTACGATATCGTCGTTAATTAATTAAAAACAACTTTGGAAACGACAGGGAAGAATGTGAAGTAAAGCGAGAATATTTATTTTTAAAATATTAATATTTTGACAAAGCGAGAAGAGGCGGACCAGATAAAGTTAATCGATCACCACAGATACAAAATATTTATTTAAAAGTCAATTTAAATGCCGAGTGAAATCACTATTACACAAGTAAAACAGGCATAGCATAAAAGTTGTTTTCTTTGGTTCGCTGGGCTTTTTTATTTTCTAATTTTCAAATGCTAATTTATATAGTAGTATATATCCCAAAGTTTCTTGCTACATATTTTTTTTTTTTTTTTTTGGCAATTTCATTCACAGGATAATAAAAACAGATCTCATTGTAGTCCGGACCAGAAACCACTGTTTACACAGGTGTTTTTGAATTGAAACATTTTTTCTCCTTGGAAAATAGTATTTATATTGAGAATATTAAATGGCATATTGTTAGATGTTGAATATTGTTGTTTACTTAAGTCCTTGGTTTTTTTTACCATTAAAACTAATATATTTTATTTTGTACTACCTCCCAGCCCAACTACACTCCATTTATCCCCCCGGGCGATGACTTAAAACTGTTACCTCCACAATTTTGTCATTTTGTATTTAAAATTTTCGCCATTTTAAACTGTTGCAAGTGGAAATCAACCGGCTGAAAGTTCAACTTGCAACACTTTCTTTTTGTCATCTTCTTCAAACAATCTGATCAAGCGAGAATAGGCAGACTGGCTGTTAATCAATATTAAAAAACTTTCCATAATTGGGCCAAAGTGAAAAAAATCTTTTTTTCAAATGTTAATTTTTATTGTAGTTTCCCCAATTTTGTTTTGCAATATGATTTAGGGGATAATAAAAATATATCCCAAAGAAGAGCGAACCAGAAACGTCGTTTTACGATTTCTTCATTAATTAATTAAAAACAACTTCAGAAAAGACAAAGCGAGAACAGGCGGACCAGATAAAGTTAATCGATCCCCACTCATAGAAAATACTTATTTATGAATCAATTAAATATGCAGCCAAATCAATATAACACACAAGGAGAACAGACATAGCATAAAAGTTGTTTTCTTTCGTCCGCTGTGCTATTTTTTCTTTTTGGAAAATGCTATTTATTTTGTGAATATCCAATGGCACATTGCTGTAGAACATAACTAATAGGATGTTCAATATTGTTATTTACTCAAGTCTGTGAATTTTTCCCCCCATTACAGCTAAGATATTTTATTTTGTACTATATCCCAGCCCAGCTACATCTCATGTATTCCCCCGCACGAGGACTTAAAACTACTACCTACACAATTATTATCATTTTGTATCTATAATTTTGTTGTAGTATACATCCAAAAGTTTCTTTCCAAAAATTTTTCTTGTCTAACCAAGCTGCCAAAGTAACCCGAACCAGAAATCACTGTTTACACACGTATTGGTATTTTTTTGTTTTCATTAATCTTAAAAAACTATCTCCACATGTATTCTAAGAATTGTAGATAGTAACATTGTGATATAACTTTCCTTCAAAAAACGCCACCAAATATCATCGAATGGGATTTCAATTGATCATACAGTCAAAAAGCTCTTAAATTCTTATTGTTTGGGTATATTGTTTAAAATAATTAAGTTAGGCACTCTTTTGATTGTGTAAAATTTATAAAATGCCGCAAGTTGTTACATTTTTTCATTTAGTTTTAGCTGATTAATCTATGGATAATATTAAAAATATGTCTACAATTTTTAAAAGAAGAGTGTATATCCGCATCTGACGGAAAATCTTCTTGATCCGGAAGGAAATTATTGAAAATTCTGCATTACAGGAAGACACTTTATCGAATGAGGTTCAATAGAAATGAAATAAAAATGGGAGTTCATTTACAACCTGTAATACCAGAAAATTATCGCGGGCAGCAGTAAACAAGCTTTTTAAAATATGCATTATACATAATACATTACAAAATCTCACTGGCACTCTCAACACGACACGCAAGAATGGCACAATTACACAGAAGACAAACACTTTGAGTGAGTAGAAATGCTTTGATTGAATATAAAAAATAAATTTTGCATTGTATAAATTCACTTTTCCACATCCTAAATGTATTTGTTAAATGTAAACAATGTTTGTAAATCCCAGGCCCTGAAGATGATCTCAATAAAGATCGAAACGTTGGCACGATAAAGAAAATGTTTTACTGAAACCTACATCACACCAGACCGCATCTCACGATTTCTGAATAATAATACATTATATTACCTAACAAGGTTTTGCCCACTTAAAAGGCAAAACTATGGTGGAAATAATCTTGTAAATATGAAGGATTATATGAAATAGTTATACGTACTTTTGTTTTTTAAATTTTTATTGAAATAAGTTGTTTTTACTTTACATTATCAATTTTTTTATGAAATTTTAATTATATTTTTATACTTCTTCTCCCTGGTAACCCCAAAGTAGTCCATTTAAATAGTCATTTAAAAATCTAATAGTTTTTAAATTTAAACGTTTTATAGGTAATACATTTGAATAAATCAGTATAGCATGCAGCCAGTTGGTCTTATTGAGTGAACAATTGTATCACTGAACTACTTTGGGAAGTTTTGTTTCATTTTTCCAGACTTTCTCCCCACTGTGCGTTCCATCACAGATATATAGTACGAAAGGGTTATTGATGAATTAAATTTTAAATATTCAAACAACAATTCATACAAGAATCACATACAAACTAAAACAGTGACAAATGCGCTGTTATTTTCTGTGAAAGAGGCTTATCTCCATTTTTGGTTCCATGTTTTTTCTCTATCAATAAATATACAAGATAAAGGATGTTTCATAAATAATCAATATATATATATATATATATATATATATATATATATATAAAACTGCTATAACAATCTGACTAAACTAAGAAATCCCAGGAAAATAGCTTCTTAGATATGGAACAGAGCAAGAAATGAGCAATTTTGTTTCATCTAAATCCCAAGAAGAAACAATATATTTGTTTTTATCTATTTTAATTGTAAGAAAATTTTTTTCACAAGCGAGAATGGACGGACGACAATCTGTTTAATAGCGTTGAAAGACATTTGATCACAGATCATCAAAAGCAATAATGAAACTAATAGTTTGCGTGGTTGAAAATTTTGTTTCAACGGAACAAATAAAACCGCGGATGACTATTTTTAAATTGATAGAATCGATGCAGCGTTTTTTTACTAGATTAACATCTAGTTTAAATGTTGGCAGCATTTTGCCCAAGCGAGAATAGGCGGACCAGAGACAGTTAATCAACATCAAAATACGTTCGATCACTGCCTTCCATGAAAAAAAGGTAGTCACATGCTCTTTTAAATATGTAAATCACACACCAGTCATTTTACGATATCTTTAGGAATTAATTTAAAAGGGATGGCCATTACTATAAAAAAATCCCTATAAGAGGCATCAGAAATTACTGCCATCCTTGAAAAAATATTGGTAAACACATGCTCTTTTCGATATCTATTAACAATCACACACCAATTGTTTTACGATATCTCGATGAATTAAGTTAGAAGAAGTTTTGAAGGGACACAGTGAAGGAAAAGAAATCGTCTTTCATGTGATACAGATTATTAATAGTTAAGAAATATTTCAAGTCTTAATTTTTGCCAAAAACGAGAACAGGCTGACTAGATAAAGTGAATCGATCACCCCCATATACAAAACACTTATTTATGGAATCAATTTAAATCTCCAACCCGCTCAGTATAACATACAAATGATACGGTTATGACTTATATAATTTTTTTTCTGCAATGATTTTTTTATTTTTGGAAAATACTCATTTTGATGAGAATATCAAATGCCATATTATTAAAGAATTCTCTAAAAGAATGTCCTGTGTTGTTATCTACTTCGAGGCCTTAACATTTTTCATGATATGAGATGATGATAATTGATCTTGATCAAAAATGTGCACAAGATATTCAATCTATTGTATCAAAATAAAATGAAAATAAAGGATAGCACTAAGGACAAAGGACCGTTTGAAAAACTTGTCTTTCCTTTTTTTTTCCAAAATATGGAAGAATCCAACGATTATGCTCTTTTAAAATTTAAAATGGAATTAAAAAGGCAATATTTGTTTACATATTATATAGTTTAGCCGACATTTGGTCAAACATGATGTGTCATCCTGATATAAAACAACCCCCACTACAACTAATATAATTTCATTTTGTGCGAAACTACAGCTCACTTATCCCCACCGGGGGACAAACATTTCAATAAATTGCCGACTAT